CGTTGGCGTCTACGTGGTCCGAAACCCATCAAGGCAGGCTTTACAGAAAGTACAGGAGGACGTACCTTTCAGCACCTTAAAAGCTAAGCTGTAGGCACAATAATGAACTCCAAGTGGCTAAAGCTGAAAAGTGAAGGTACAGTTTTGAGTTTTCTCAGAGCATAGATATTAGAATTTGTTTGGATTCTTCACAGAATCAGAGAGATTCAGATTTTCTTTTCTTTTCTTAAGTGATGGCCTTTCTATCACATCCTTCAAGGCTCTGTTGTGATTCCATTCACATATATATAAACCCACTTCCAGTTTGAGCTCAAAATAGACATCTATTGTATCTGAAGATGGAACCCTAATCCCAATATTGTCCCAGTGGGCCTTGTGAAACAAGTTCTGCTAAGCACAGGGACAGAATCATCTCAGTGGTCTGGACAAAGTTGGTTAGGCGATGAATCTCTTCCACACTAAACTCTTTGCAATGAAAACCCAAAAGGGCATGTAGCCATGTACCTCAGAATGAGTTGAGGGCTGAGAAGTATTTGGGATTCTGACCGCTAAATCATTTCATGGGGACCTCATGAAGTTGACTGGCCTATTTGTTCATGTTCATCAACAAGGATGCATTGAAGTGTGCTGTATCTTTGCTGCTTTGGGGTTACCAAACAAGTACCTGACTTCATGAAGGGTTACTGGACTAGGCCAAACTCTGAAACAGAAGCCAGAAGCCAGAAGCCAGAAGCCAGAGAGATGACTAAAAGGAGTGGGCTCCAAAAGGCCCAAGGAAATATGGGCTTAAATTATTGCAAGAGGAAATCACATTAATCTTGATGAATGAAGGTGACAAAGTTTGGTGAGTGATACTGATACATTCATGAACATTGAGTCATGGAGGTTGTGTGGACTTTTGGTTGATATTGGCAGAGATGGTAAGGCTATCAGGGGCAGGCTTTGAAAGTTGAAATTGAAATTGAGGGAGGCCAAGAGGGGACGTTGGGCCAAGGCCCCTTGATGAGTCTCATCTCGAGGGGGCCCTTCATTTATTGTTCATGGGCAGCAGCATGATTGGCCTGTGCCAAGAGGCTCAGCTGGCATTTGTGCCCTAGGAGGTGCTTTAGTCAATGGACATTACTCACATGGGCCATTGTTTTCCTTGGAAGATTGGAGAAGGGAGACTATTTTGCTCCCTTCCTGGCTAGTGCACTAAGAAGTGTGTGGACAAAAGAACTTGGGCTGGTTGGTTGGTTTGGCTTGGCCTTTTCACGTTTGCATTTGAGGTCCCCAGATAGAAACAAATCTGATTGGGACAAAAATCTCTTCATTACAAGACATTTTATCATATTTTCAACAAAGCGGATGAACTTGATGACTCTTAATGATAGTGTCGGCAGATACCTTTCAATTTCTTATTTTAAGGCTGTTTTTGGCAAGAGTGAAAAAAAAAAACATATGTGTTGATGTAATGCAAGTTTGATAAAAAAAATATAAATGAAAATTTGGTTTAATTTTGCATTGGTATGTATTTGGTTCTAATGGGTACAAGTACAAATTCCAAGACTTGAAGTCTACCTATTTTACATTTTGAATGCAAAGATGTTAGGAAAAAATGCTTTCATTATTACAAAACACTTGTAAAACTGAATTGGAGTGCAAATCCATCTCAGTTTTACATTTGCACTCCATTTGTTGGTAGTGCAATTTTCAATTGGGCTCAGTTTGGAAGGAGTACAAATATAAATATGTAGAGTGTAAAACCTTACATTTTGTTATTATTTTGTACGTATTTGTACTGTACATATTTATATTTGTACTCCTTCCAAACTGAGCCTTGAGCACAAATGGAGTGAGTACAAATGTTGGTTTAGTTTTGTTTTTGATTTTCGTTTGTTTTGTATGTTTGGGTCCTTTGGGAGGGGTAAAAATTGAAAATAAAATTCACGTGATCCCCATTTGTTTTAGAGAAAATGAAACTAGAAGGAATCTTACTTGTTTGAGAGAAGTAAGATGGAAAGTAAAATCATGTGGTCTCCACTTTAAGAGAACAAAGGTAGGAGCAAGACAGGTGCATTTTACAACAGTTCTGGAATGTAAAATTTGTACTGCCAACCAATGTAAATCAGACAAAATGTGCAAATTTAACATTGGGTAACAGTGCAAATCATGATTACAAACAAATGCAGGCAAATCTGAACTTAGGTGAAAATTTCACGTCTGATTTGAATTTGCAATACAAACAAATTGACAAAATACATGAAGTAACAGATATGTCATATGTGGCAACACAATAAACTGCTGGTGCACCGACATTTTCACATTCTATATACAGGTAACAAATCTTGACCCGACCCACCAACCCACCTGACCTCTTTGTAATTTGTATCATTTATTATTTCCTCAGCCAACCGAGTCCATCACTGAACCCGGTTTCGACCCGACCCGTTTTCAATGATGAACAGCTGGGTTTCAATACTGAACAATTCTTTTTGGGGGATTTCAAAGTTGAAACAGTGTTTGTCTTTGTCCATATACAGTGGTGGATGGGAGAGGAAACCGATGAGAACAACCATTGATGAGTCTATTTCGGGCACAACATCTGGGGCCAGGAACCATTGAGTGGGACCCATGTTGGTTGGGAAAAGAATCACACATTAATGGTGTGGTGGGGAGTGGTGGGTAAGGGATTCTGGTGCGCACGTGGGCATGATAAAGCTGCCATTTGACCAATCACACTCTGTCGGGTCTCTCCAGCTCTTAAGTGGCAGACAACAGAATATAAGATTGGGATCATCTCCTGTGCAAACAAACACTCACGTCTCAATCCCACCCTCACAAGCGAGCAAGCAAACAAACAAACAAACAAACAAGTTTCTCTTTCTTTCCTTCTCCCACTTCTTTTTCTCCTAAACCAAACAAGAGGGGAAGGGTATGCTGTTGGATTCCTATTCTTTTTTTTTTTTTTTTTGTCGTACACGTGGCAAATGTGCTTGTTGGGCTGGAACCCATAACTTTTGTGGACTCACAAAGTAGAGACCTGATCATAAATGGAAAAAAGGAAACCCTAATATCTTTTTCCTCTATACAATCAAAAGAAATTCGGATGCTTAGGTCTTACTTTTTATTATTTTGGCTGATCAAATGTTAGTTTTTCTTCAGTATATTGGTTATTTGGTTTTAATGTAAAAATGCCCAGAAATAGATAATCATGCTTGACTCATCCATCACCTGTGAGTCTGTTGTTTATAAATAAATATATAATGTGGATATCAACCTTTGAACCTATTAAAAGGTTCATAGTCTCAGTATTTAAGTATTTCGATAAACTGAAAATCGATATGTATCATATGATATGGTACAATACGTATCAGATACTTAGAACTATGGTGGTGGAATATGATTATACACCCTTTCTAGTAGCTTTTTTGGACAAGGACGACATAACCAGAGACTGGTGGGCCTCTTTATTATCCTTATCCCTCCCAATTTATAGTGTGGGAAACACAACCCACCATTTTGGGGTGTTTACCATTATCTATTATTATTTTTTTGCTAAAGTGGCAATTATTTTTATTTTAAAATTAAATTCATTTATATTGATAAACAACCCAGTCATCAACTTATCATTAATTGTGGGAAATTTTGGAAGATGATGGAAATAGTATCATGGGAGTGTAATACAACAGTTCAGGGTTCAGCACTTACAGTATCTGCATTTACTAGATTCAACTGAAAAAAAAGTTACTCTAATGGAAAAATCTCATTTTTCTTTTTTCTGCAGGTTGACACAGGAGAAGAGTATATACAACTCTTGGAAACTTTTCCCTGTTAACAAGGTGAGGCCCATAAATACCGTCTTTTCATGGGTCCCACCTTGTCTAGAGAGAGAAGAAAACAAAGAATTGCATGAACTCTTCTAGCATTTCTTGGTGGATGACTGGGAGAGTTGTGTAGTCTGTACTCGTTCGTTTTCACTTTAACAAAATTGTACAACATTTCACGGAATCCGCAATTGGGCTAGCCATTTGTACCTTGTCTCTATTGCAGAGATTACTTCTCTGACTTCTTATTCAAAACAAGTAGAGAGCGTTTGAGCTCTTTCTTCACCAAACGTCCTTGGCTTGATCAAACCCCGGATTTTCTCAATGGTTCTTCTTTTTTTATTTCAGCTCTTCCTGGTGTCAAATCTACTTGATTAATATCAAATTTCACAGTCAAACTTACCTGAATAAATGTGAGATATTTTCACTTGTTTTTGAATCTGAAACTTCTGAAGTGGGTACTGGTAGAAATGATGTAAACCGAAAAGCAAGAAAGAGATGTAATGGGATCAGTTGCAGAGTCAGTGACGAAGAAAAGTTCTATTCTAAATCATCAAGACATCAACCATAGGCTAGACCTATAGGCTTCACAGAAAAAAGAGATCTAAATGAGCAACTAAAGGTGTCCGACTGGCAATCTGGGCAATTATAGAATGTAAAGATCCCTGCAGAAAGACTGAAAAGAAAGAAAAAAAAAGTACAACAAATTTAAAACCCAAGTTGCTCTTTAACCATTTCTTCATCTACCACTTTGATTAATCTCAGATATTCTCCATCCAACTTGCTTGAAGAAACTCAAAAATATTCTTTCTTTCACTTGGATTCGAATCTGTAAGTACTGAAGAAAGTCTTGGAAAAGAAAAGAAAGCAAGAATTCATTACACTTTGAAACAAATCCCATGCATTTCAACCATTTCATTATCAAACCCTCCTCAGCGTATCTGATCAAATATACTTTACCACACTTCCTTCAATGAACTGAACAATTCTTTGACTTGTTTTTCAGGCTCAAGTGTTTTATAAAGATTGAAAGAAAGAAGAAAGAAATGGGATATAATCGGTTTGGAGGACACTAACCATGGTGTGGAGAGATGGAATTCACAGAAAACAGAAAATGGTTGATTTCATCTGAAGGTCACTTCTGTCTAAAGCTTAGGAAAGTAAAAGAACAAGAACAAGAATAACAGACAGACATTTGGGAGATAGAAAATCTAACTTGTCATTAAACTTCTTTCCGATGTACAAAACAAGCCCAAGAGGCCAAAAACTGATACAAAAATTGGCATTTGCCAATGCTTGACAAAACTCGCCTTTGGCTATTTACACTCAAAAAAAGAAGCGCCGCTGCCGATAACTGTTGGCGACTCGGTGAAGATCACAGAGCTTCCTTCAATCATGCCAGCAGAGAAGCATGATAACACATCTTCTTATAATGTAAAGCCGACCCCTCTGTTCCCTGAGGATTCCTCCGAGTCCTCTTCCAGACAACCTTCTCTTGGAGGCTCCCATGGTAGCACTGCTCATCTTCATCTTGTTGAATTGAAGATGTAGAATCTTCACTTCTCTTATCTTCTCTGGAATGACTAAAGGCCTTGTTTGGTTGGTGCGAGCGAGATTTCACCTTGTAATGTTGAATGGAGGCAAGAGGCAAGAGGCAAGGCCTTCTTATAGAGCATGGAGCGTGTGGTCCAGTTTCACCTTGGTCTACTAAAGAGAGAGCGAGGGGGCATCAAGAGGCGTGCGTTGCCCCCTTTCTCAACAGACTACACACTTTGGGCCCCACCCCGCTTTTGGATTCCTACCTCACCTCAACCATCTCTCTCTTTCTCTCTCTCTCTAGACCACTCGTGTGGGTCGGCCATTACTTTTATTAGAGTAGCTAATTTCTCTGGTTTGGAATTTGGACCTTGGAGCCACCCTGCAATTTAATCCTAACTTAACTAATGAGAAGATTAACTAACTTAACTAAACTTGACACTAGAATATTAAGCTGTTCTTACGCATGTGTATCGACTTTCTAAACCAACAAAAGTAACGATTGACAAGAGAGAGTCTGATATGTCACCTTCATTCCTTCCCGTTTGTTTCCTCTCCACAGTCCACACCAAAAAAGGATTTTCCCTGGCTACACCCATTGGTGCCTTGGAACGGTTATGACCATCTCATCTATACGCATCAAAATCAGGACTGGGGGAGTGGGGTCAGTAATCCATCACATAGTGAGTTGTAGTGGGGCCAATGTCCAAAAAATGATTAGGCGATTAAGATTGCATGGTTTGTTTTGTTGTATTCCTTTGGACAGCAAAACGAAAAATTATTGAGCTCTCAAGTCCGAACATAATTCTATGGATCAAACGGTTGAGTCATCCAATTAGATTGACTTTATTTTATTTTTTACCTCAAGCAAATTCTACTTCTTCATGACAGACCCATTGAATTGAATGGTCTATAGTCTATACTCTGTACAGGATAAGCAAAGTGTACAAGTTACCCTTTCTTTTCCCTATGAATGTATAATTTTAAGGAGCACTGACCATAATTTATGTATCAGAGCATAACATGTACACACATCAGAAACCATTGATCAGAACTGGAGCTACATTGGATTCCAATATGAGGGTATATGACACGTGACAATTCTTTAAAAGAACCAAACTGTGGGCAGTGGGCTAGAGGTTTGCTTCTCCTTTACCCAATTGAGAAAATATTAAGTAAACTACTTTCTATAGGAGCCCAAAATTCAAAGTGAACATCGAACACTAAGAGACAATTTTCTTGCAGCCCAACAGTTTATTTAATCAATTACTTTGAATTAAAGCAAATTCAAATTCCAGTTGCTTGGCCTCGTGTTCCCATTTGACCAGGAACAACAACTACCATTTACTTTACTCAAGTAAAAAAGAATAGAAAAATAATGAACTATTCGCTTCATTCAAGTAAAAAAAATGAATAATTCTCTTCGTTCAAGTAAAAAGAAAACGATAACAATGAACCATTCACTCCATTCAAGTAAAAAAAGAAAACAAAACACAATGATAAGATGCCACCCAAGACATTACAATTGTAATACGTATCATCATCACCACTATATATTCTGATCAAAGATGAGAATTGGGTTGCATGTGAAATCTGCAGAAGATAGATTAATCAGGTTTCAAAAACTAGGGTATCATCTTGTTCTCAGCTTTACCATTTTCAAAAATTACGGAGTTTGAGTGTGAGACACCCAAGGCTGTGGGGGATTCACTGGGATGAAAGGAGACCAAGGAGATTAAATTAATCTGTAACGACTCTTAATTAACTAAAAAGGGTGGTGCTCATGCGTGCTTGGTTTGTAGCTTGTAGTGTCGCATGCTGGGGGTGTACAAAAAATATATAAATAACAAGCAAAAGCTAGTTGTACTGGTACGGGGAGGTCAGGTTTCCACGTGAAGATGCTTAAACTCGACTGTTGCCTGTTTTATAGTTGGCAATCTTGTTTATTATAAGCTTTGAATCACTTTACTTATTCAACCAATACCACATTTCTTGCTAGAGAGCCTACTCTCTCTCTCTCCTGCTTTGTGAAGCTAATATGGTCACAAGTATGTATTAATTGAAACACAAATATCCATGTGAACGAGAAGTATAGTGAGCCGTACTAATTGATTAGTAAGTACAGTTGTCCCTGAAGTCTTTGAGAGCATTATCTGGTTTTTACAAGATGGGGATTCAACTTTCTAGGTTTAAGACTTACAAGTGACATGGAATGAAGCTGGTGCAAGGATTTATATGTAAAATAATATATTAGGGATAATAAGTACAGGTATTAGCACGTTTAAGACTCTTTAATCTCAGTTTAGTCAATGTTGACTCCAGGGGCCAGCGAGGTCTGTGCTAGTGATGACAAATAAAACTTTAGTTAACAGTTTTTCTTAGGGCTGTGTAAGCACAGTTGATCTCTGAATCTTGGTTCTGAGGAGGATTTTTTGTTTAAACTGTTAATTGTTGATACTTCAACTGTTCTGAAGTAGGGCTGTATTGCAGATCTAGATTGTCAGAATTTTAGCTGATCATAGTTGGCAATTTTGTCACTTTTTATCTTATTTTTCCCATGTCATCTATGCCTAGGGGTCATGGAAAAGTTAGAATTTCAGTGAAAACCAATATCTTATTGCAAATAGTTCCAGGGGAATTCCTTTAAGAAATGATAAGAAGTACAAATAATTTAAACTGTTCAGCACATAATATGGAAAGACAAACTACCCACCCTGAACCAACCTTGCTGTAACAGATTGGAGCATGTCAGGCATAAACCAAAACTTGTGTTTGGATCAGTTTCCCTTTGCGAGTAAAAGCTTATGTATTTTAGCTGCCAAAAGCCATCAGAAACTATTAGTTTCATAGGAGGAATCCAGCTATAAGAATATTTGTTAACATTAAGTCCCTTTTACTACCTTTTATTTTCTTTCTTTATTCTATCTTCTTTTTTTTCCTTTCAATTAACTTCTGGTATAACTCATTAATGAAATGTCTTAGCACAAACATTTCCAGTTAATCAGTTTGAATTGTTAATGATGGAATATGTTGTCCTAAAAGCTGAGACAAACTGATTGAATTAACTCTCTAGAATCAATCATTTATTAACTGGTCAACTTAATTTAAAAAAAAATCACAAATAGAAGTTTAAGTGATTGACTCATCTAGAAGAAAATGCTAACCCATTTGTGTGTAGCACATGCACCTACTGGTTTGGATACCAAAAAAATAGGGGTGTGTGTGGGTTTTGGGCATGCCGCGAATGGGGGTGACAATGGGTTAGATCAGGTGAATCTCGATCTGATTAAGAAAAGGCTAAGGCTGGGCTGAATACAACATGCAAACGTCACATTGGTTTAGCTAGTATGTGCTCAAAATAAAAAAATAGGGGAAAAGGTCAGGCCTGTACATGTCTGGTTGACAACTGTGCTACCCAAATTAAATGAGGTTAGTTGGCTGTTTGTAGCCAAGCAACCTGGGATAGACCCTATTGGCTTAATGGATCAGGCTAACAACTAAACTATAGAAGTATATAACACCCACCCATCTACTCTTGTTCATTGATTTGCCAAAACAAGAATGAGGTGTGACTGACTGTGAGCAGGCGTTCATAAGATGAAAAAGTTGGCATGCATAATCAGAAATCAGTAGGAAGCAAAGACATGCATGAACAGGCGTCTATAAGAAGCAAATTTGACATGCACGCACCCGTTTTCTTTCTTTTTTTTTTTTTTTTTTGATCAATTGCATGCACTCTTTTTAATAGTGTTACCTTTTTGGTAGGCAACTCAGCGGCACCTTAAGCAATAAAAGATTTTAAAAGGCCGCTAGTAAATTAACAGCCATTTCAAATTTTCAATCATAACTACTAGATAAAATATGCATAACAAGAACAGTGATCAACAACTAATAAATTAGTCATGTAGCAACAGATAACAATGCTGCTAAAAACACAACCGCAGTAGTTAAGAATCCAATTGCCAACAAGTAACCGGCCAGTTGTGTCTGAAGAAAGAACCGTATCCATCCTCACTGGTAGGTAAGCACCTGAACTCAGAATTTGCAGAGAACCGTACCTGAAGTTAACATTATTGAATATCTGGACATTTTTATGTACATTTAACAGAATACTGATTATGGTAGGAAAGTCTCAACATAGTAGCTACTTCCATGGAATTTCCAAATTACAGTAGCTGCTTTCATGGATCTTCTTCCTAAGAGAATGTTACATTTGCAGGATATGATTTTGTGAAGCACACGATTCATATCAACAACATTATTTGAAGTTGTGAGAAAGGTGAGCTCCATAGCCCTTCTCATTTCTCTAATATGTGAGGATCCTCTGCTCCCTCTCAATTACTATTGCAAAGGTTAAGAGAGCATCCATGGTGATCACAAATGACCTCTTTCTTTCTTTTTTCTTTTGATAAAACAGAGGGGGCTACACAAAACGGGGGGTAGCACGTCCCCAAATATCACAGAAGCAAATGAAAGCTAGGTCCCATGGAAGCTCATTAAAAGATAAAGATCGATCACTAACTACCTCTTTCATCCCAATTGTAATTGTGCTTTGAGACCCCATAGGTATTTGGGGACAACTTAAGCTTCTCTAATATTTAAAGTTTCATCCTTCTACATCCAGGAAACTAATGTTGCATGAAAAACTCAAGATCTCAGTTTATAGTAAGGACAACATAACCGGTTTATCTGCCAAGCATAGGATTCTTATACATTATCAGGTTTCTAGTGGAGCTGCTACAGGTGTCCATACTTCAATTGTTTTCTTTTAACTTCAATAAGCGTCTCCAATGCATGGTTAGATATATGGGAATGACGGTTATACTGCATTAGAAACTGTTTAATTGTGTGTGTGCTATCCACTAAGAAGTTGCATGGTGGGTAAATACCAAATTCTAGTCACAATCCAAAGGACTCAATTCCATACCACATGTGGACTCTCCAAAGATGGGCATGGATTGCCAACACCTCCAGTCTGTTACAACACAACCACAGACCTGAAATCCAGGCTTATTTCTAGAACAAAATGGGCTATATTCATGTTTATTTACAATACAGAACCTTTCTTGGAATAAACTTCTTTACATCTTATAATTTCAAATAAGATTAGCATCAAAGGACTTTTACAAGTGTTCAGCTATCCTACCCACAAGAACCCCACCCACAGGACATCACAGCCGCACATCAGGAACATCTCCTGTACTTATATGTTATCATTCATGGAGAGATGTTCCCAATGTGCAGCTGTGGTGTCCTGTGGGTAGGTGTGGATAGGAGATCCGGGCTTCTTTTAGAAAGGATATGAAACCGGGATTTTGTATTTACAAGTATAAAAGTTTCATGGTTAAGACTTGTTTAGATTCATGTAGCTTTTGAAAGTGAAGAAAATGAAACCCAAGAAAGAAATCAACCTGAAAAAAGCCACCTTGCCAGATTAGTGGACAACTATTATATTTTTTTCATGGTTTACTGCTTTGTATTTGACAATTCTGTGCATTTTTACATTAAATAGATTGGCCCAAAAATCCTATATTAGTGTGGAAACAATATCAATTATCAAATAAGATGGATCAAATTGCTACAAATGAAGGTTTTTATGGAAAAAGTACGACTGTAAGTTGAATTACATATAAATGCTTAACTAGAATGAGTTAAAACACAAGTAGAGATGCAGGCTTAGAAAAATGGATAGGTGTCACATTTAAGTCCACAAGTAAAAACGCATGCAATAGCAAGTAGAACCTAAGAATTTATAATCCCATTGGCAATGCCAGCTCCACTCAAGAGTCCTTTTTCTTTAAATAACAAGGATTTAATTTAAATGACAAAAGAAGAAATAAGGAAGCTTAAGTCAACAATCTCTGGTAACTAATAAAAGGATGTATTCTCTAAAGTGGAGTAGCATTACTAGGAAGAAAGGTTCGTACAAACAGGCATATATATATTAACAGGCATTAGATAATTGGATAACCATCGCCATTACCTAGCTAGTAACAAAGAAACAACTCATTTATGGGAAAGGAAAATGTGTAGATGAGGACACAAAGCTCTGTTCAACTAAAATACCAAAAGGGTTTATTCCTGGTTCAAAATACCAATTAGTTGTTGTGAAAGACGAAAGAAACAAAAGTTTCAACCATATTTTTCCCCCAAAAATGTTTCCATTTTTCCCTGGTATTAAGATGAACTATAACTATAATATATTCAGAGAATTCCCCAATGCTTTGATATGATTCATACTGTTTCAATAACATTTTATTAGTCAAGTGTGTAAGTCTCCTCTTTATTTTTCCATCTTTAAGCCCATTGTTCCAGGTTTTTATTTTGTTTTTTTCTTATTTTGGTAAAGTATGTTATTTTTATAGGATAAATATTTAAACCTCTGTACCTATCAGTAAAATATTTAAACCTCCGTTGAGGCTTCAGACAAATACAAAAATCTCCCCTCAGTTTCATCTTAACCCTTAAACATCCCCTATTAAAGCATTCAACATTTAGCTTTAAAAGAATGGGGATGGGGCGAAATATCAACAATGCCATTGATGCCATTGTGGGTTGTTAGATGTTTGAATTTAATACCAAAAATTTCCCTTGCTACGGAAGAGGTTGAGATTTAGACTCGTTTTCCAAACCCTAAATTCTTTGCAACAATAGAATACATCATGGTTGGAGAAGACAATTCTTAGATCTATCAGAGAAAACAACTTATGTTCCAACATCGTGGTTGGGACACTCTCATTTTCCTTTAGCTTGAAAAGAAAGCAGTCAGGTAAAGGGAATATAGATTTTATAAAACCTTATACTAAAGGTAAGCTATAGGCATGCCTAGGGGTGATCATGGGCCAGGCCGGGCTTTGGGCCTAAAGTATTGGAATCAATAAATCACTTATCGTTCCATAGCAGATTCACTACCCAAATCTGGCATCATTACTTTAATCTATTTGGAGTCTCCTCCTGGTGCTTCCCTCACTCCATCTCCATCATGGATTGTTTCAAATACTGGAATTTAAGAGGTCTAAGCAGAAGGGGGGTCCATTCCCTGCAGGACTACCCCCTTGGCAATTATGTGATGGCTATATGACATGAAAGAAGTAACAGATTTCTCAAGGTAGAAGTCAATTGGACCCCCTTCACATCTTCCCTCGATGTACATGGTGGGAAGCCTTCACATCTTGCCTCTTTTACTTTCATCTATACAAGTATTTCTTATCTTCTTCTTCTTCTTCAAATAAATAAATAAATAAATAAGATAGTGAACATTCGAACATTCCGGTCCATTATGTGATGGCTATATGACATGAAAGAAGTAACAGATTTCTCAAGGTAGAAGTCAATTGGACCCCCTTCACATCTTCCCTCGATGTACATGGTGGGAAGCCTTCACATCTTGCCTCTTTTATTTTCATCTATACAAGTATTTCTTATCTTCTTCTTCTTCTTCAAATAAATAAATAAATAAATAAGATAGTGAACATTCCAGTCCATTTAATTAATTTAGGTCAATTTAAATGGGGCACTAATGGGTTTTCAGCAAAAAATATAATGACATATATGATCATATGCTAATGGCAGGCCATCGTAAGAATGGTTCCTCTTGTCACATTGGCTAATAGGGGAGATTAGAGTCCTTTTAGAAGGTAAGGGAAGTTATAACATTTGTTGGAAACCTTAACGGAGGTTTAAGTATTTCTCCCAAAAATTTATACATAGTTTAACTACCCATGTTTCCATTTCCCAATATGTTATATTCAAAGAATGGTAAAATCCAGTAGCATAAAAGATATTTAGATTTAAACCCTAGCTCTCATATTAACTTGTCCCAATAGAAATTTGCAATTTTACATGGCTTTCTTTTTCTCAAGCTTGTCACAATTTCGTTTCTCATGCCAAAGATTCAAAATTTTGGCCAAGCTGGTTATGGCTCCACCAAGAGAGTCCTACATTTCCTTTCTCTAAAAAGGCTGAGTTGCTAGACACTCTGAATCTGTAAGCCTTTTCATGCCACAGAAATATGTAATTACGTACCACGTAAACCCCAATACAAGGGTTAATTAGACATAGTATTCCTTAGTAAAACAACAGTATGCAGAATAAAATCATTGATGTTGCCCCATTGGTTGATTATAGAAAAAGACAATTAAGGAGGTAAGTGCTACAAAAAGCAGAAAATTAACAAACACTAGCAAAACACAACCGCAAAGCATAAAACAAACAGATCTAAATGCCACCATCTGAATTGCTCACTGAGTTTTTCAATTATCTTATCTTTCTGGTCCTGTGACCTCGTATTTATTTCAAGTCAATTACTGAATTTCTCTCATCTTACACCAAAACTTAGATCACATGTTTTCCACTTTCTTGCTAAAGTTGTAACATTAACAAAATTTTAGTTTCTGAAGGATATTACCAGACGCTTGGATCAATCCGTTCATCACATGTTGAGCAACACATACCATCGTCGTCGACTCAAGCTTCTCTCATGGAAAACCCATAATCAATTTCGTCGCATTTCACAAATTCTGATTCTCTCTCGTCTGAAAATTCTCTTCATTTACCTGGCGCCAATAAAAGGAAGTAGCGAAAATAAAAGCTCAGGAACTAGTACATTTGAAAGATTCAAGCTCCATTACAAAGCAAATCAGAGGCTATTGCAATTTCTCGATCAACGAAAATATCGAACTGTAAACCCTAATCATCAATTAAAGAAACCCTAAAAGAGTTTACTTGATCTAAGCATGCAATTGAGAGCCGATGTTTGTCAGAGAATGGCTTCCGATTTCCGACTCGTTCACTCTCGTAGTCTCGTTCCAAATTCCAACCCCGCACCTTAACGCGAATCCCATCCGGATCCATTTACGTATTTAACAGTTTTAGGTCCGAAAACAATATGGATCCTTATGTTCATTTATTTGGGTTCCGAATACAGTTCAACGTGATTCAGTTCAGGCGTGTTCACGGCATCAAATTATTATTAATAATTTACAGTCCAGTGTGGATTTTAAGTTTTAACATTCAGAAAATCAGACAAAAACCGTAAACCGAAATTTTAAAATTTCCCAACTAAATTAGACCAAACCGCCCATTTCAGTTTGGTCGGTCTGACTTGGCCGTCTAAACCATAAAATGAACGCCCCCCCCTCCCCCAAACATGAATTACATTTAGAGCTGGTGGTTGAATGGGTTCCGTAAGCGCGAACCATTTCATTTTCATGCACTACTAATTGGGTGTCCCCTGAAAATGACCGTTAAGGTCATAACATCATGCATAATAACACAAAGACCGCTTTGATTCTATTTTTAGGGTCAATAGAGATTTATTATCTAATGTTTCTTTTTATTGGCGTGAATAGGTATTTTCCAAATGTATGTTATATATAGCCATGCTTATTCCAAATTTGAACATGTATGAGAAATTCTTATAGAAGGAATTAGCGGGTCCTACATGAGAAATTTGAACATAATTGGTAGGTCCCACATGGAAATTAAATGTATTGTCCAATATTTCTCTTTATTTGGCAATTTGGCATGAATAAGGTCCACTGAGGCCGCATTCTATTCTCATATGATCCAATGATCTCCAATGAATCTACAATTCGCTTCACAGATGGAATCATGGAACTTGGAGCCTAATTTGTCCATAAGTTAACAGTATTGTTCTTAGTTTCTAATAACACACATGATACAACCGATGTCATTAGGTACCAGTGCATATTACGCCAAGAGATTAGCTGAGAGCTCTATGTTGAACTCTCTCCATGAATTATTAAGTGACACTGCAAGCCTCCTTAGAGAGAGAAAGAGAGAGAGAAATTACTATTGGTTTGACCTTCTTAGTTGGTCCAGAATTGCCTCCTTTAAATTGTTCACGTTCTAAGAACATACAAGGCAGAAAACAAATAACGAAACTCTTTTGCTTTCATCTAGTACAAGAGCAATGCTACTCTTTTATTTAATATGCATTAGTGGAAGATATGGTAGAAAGAAAGGCAACTACTAGTGCAATCCTGTTTATTTAGAGCAAGCTGAATTCCATCACCAACAAAAGGGAAGAGATTATTCAACTTAATTACAATTGTAGAAACAGACACAGCGATAGGAACCAAATCCAGTGGCACTGCAAAGACCATTGCCATTGTATGCCTGGAGGCACCACTGGCGGCATGAGGCGAGATTACAACCTTGGCTGTTCTGAACAACTTGGCATCTTTTTGCAGCATCCGAACTGGGCACCATTGATACAACTGCAACAACCATCATTTATACAATAAGCAAATGAATATCAAGGGTGGAGGGGGGATCAGATCAAGTCTGTATCTGTTGCACCAGGATACCCATTTGCATGTATAGCAGAGGAGGCAGCCTCTATAGATTCTAGGAACATAGAGTCACAAATAATAAATACAAATTTATATATCAATACTAAAAATGAAAGAAAGAATAACAAAATCGGACTGTAAAAGATTGCACCATGTGATGTTGGAAGAAGTGTATCTTGCAACTGTGCAAAAAGTGGTTTTTGATGTTGAAACAGAAAGATGTGTTCATGCATTATAGAAGTGACCATAAATGGGTGGGTAAACAGAGACAAACAAATGAAAATGAGGAAATTAAGTTTAAGAAACCTGAAAGGACTAGGAGGACAAAGAAGAAACTGCAGAAAAGCTTAGCCATCTTTACGTCAACTTAGGCAAATTTGCAGAGTGTGTTCTATTGTGCTAGAAAACTGTGTATCTTCTCAATAGGGAAATGGTAATGAGTTCCAGGAATATTTATAGAGTTTTGGGTCTGTAAATTTATTCATAGATAGCATTCTAAGTTGCATGAATCAACCCCCAAAAAAAAAAAGGCTGTGGAATTGTTAAGGCCTTAATCTAGGTTCTCAGTTTTCGAAGTATTTTGAATTGCTAACAGAATCAGTTTTGGGTACAATAATTTGCTTTTTGTTGGGCAAAAGGCTAGCTCAAATATGCATCTCAGTTTTTTAATCCATGAGATATTAGAACTTGGGAGGAAAGTTTTCAAACACATTGGGTCAAGAGTACATGTTGTTTGAGTGGCACACAAATCAAAGACAATTTAACTTCAATGGGTGGCAAAGCCTTGATGAATGGAAGGTTGCACAAGTATCTAATCCTCAACTTGCACTGGAATTGAAGGTTGCACAAGAATTGATTGGGTCAATTCTCAATGGACAAAAACCAACAAACTGACTGGTCATCAGAAATAGTCCAGTTTGTATATGAGATTTGGTGTTGAAATCCAGTTTTACCTCCAAGTTGCTGGCAGATGGCTAAGTATGTTCTTCATAGAAGCATGAGATGGGGTGGAGGTGGAGCAGTGGCCCTAACTAGTAATTACCAGTTACCACCCACCCCACAGAAGGAAACCAAATGACATGGACTTGGGTAGCCATGTGCTCATGCCAACTTAGGAAACAAGTGGATGGTATCAACTTTTGAGTATCAAATGGGTCCAGCACATCTTATTAAGAAGCTTGGAAGTTAGTTAACAATGGAAGATAAAGCTTAACATGAAGAAATATTAGCCTACAAGCCATCAACTTAGGACAACTCAAAATTTATTCCACACTATTTGACCTAATCATGTCCACCTACCCAAGTAATTAGTGGATCATCCACCTTTACTCATGGTTAGGATCAAGAGTACAAATCCAGTAAATAGTGAAGCTGCATAGTGCTAAACATGGTTTCTTTATTTATCATCTTCAAATAATTATTGTGGGTCTTGCATTTGGGGCTATACATTTCTAATCCAATTTTGGCCTAATATCAAAGGATTAAATTGAATGAGCTAAACTGATCTGAGCCTATTGATAAAAAAAAACTGATCTGAGCCCTAGCCCTACTATTGGTTATTGAGCCTGAGGCCAGAGGCCAAGCTGACCAAATCTTGATTCATCTCAACTAGTTTAGGCTCTTACATAGGTGAGGAATTTGCAGATCTGGTTTACAAGCTTGATTGGGACTCAAGACCTAAAATAAGCTGGCAAGTAATTAAAGAGTCTTTGACTCTTTTGTGGTTGTCTGTGTAAGGGGTCTGAGGATGGTTGTGTCCAGTTCATACTGGAAAATCAGCTACACAAGGATGGTGGCCCATTTCTGCCACATATGGTAGCAGCTGCCAGTAGTAACACCATGTTACTTTGAAGTTTGAAAACTTTAGGAAAAGGCCATACCATGTTAACAAGGCCAACCGCTCATATTTACTGGAGAAACTATTGTCCTTTCTGGCTAAGGGTAGCTGCTAATTGCAAATCAACAGGAGTATGAGCTAGTTCTCTGTTTTATTATAATTAGACAACTATTCATGCCTATCCAGCAGGGGGAAGTTTGGTAGCAACATGTATTAAGCATTGTGCATGCTAACAAAGAGGGAGTATTATTTATGCTAACCAAGAGTGAGTATTGATGCTTTTTAAATGAACCCATATTCCTTTATTTTTTCCCCTTTCATGTTAATCCAGCCAAAGTTCAAGCAAACTATTCATCCCTAACATTCTCAGAGTCAGTGCCATCTCTAACATTCTTAGAATCAGTGCCATTTGGGAGGACTGAAGAGCAGCAGCTTCTGGCTTTCCGAGGTGGGCCCAACATGAATAACCCATAAGCTATGTTTGGTGAAAAATCCAGAGAACCCAAAATCTAAACAAGTTAATTGAATTTACTCTCTACAATCAAGCATTTTTGACTGGCCAACTTATTTTAAAAACTCACAAATAGAACTTCAAGCGATTGACTCATCTACAAGGAAATGCTAACCCATTTGTGTGGTGGCACATGCACCTACTGGTTTGGATTCAAAAATAAAAAGTGTGTGGGTTTTGGGCATGCTGTGTATGGCGGTAGCAATGGCTTGGGCCAGGTCAATCTGGATCTGATTAAGAAAAGGCTAAAGCTGGATTCAACATGGAAACATCATATTGGTTTAGCTAATAAGTGCTCAAAATAAAAAATAGGGGAAAAGGTCAGGCCTGTACATGTCAGGTTGACAACTAGGGTAGCCTAGTGCATAAGGCTCCAGCTGATGCAGGGTCTGTGGAGGGATAGATGTACACATCCTTACCCCTACACATACATAGAGGTTGTTTCCAAGATTTGAACTCTGGTCACCCAGGTCGCAATGTCAAGTTGACAACTATGCTACCCAAATTAAATGAGGTTGGTTGTCTGTTTGTAGCCAATCAACTTGGGAAAAACTCTATTGACTTAATGTGAACAGGTGTTCATAAGAAGAAAAAGTTTGATGCACATAATCAGACATCAGTAAGAAGCAAAATTAGACATGCATAAATAGATGCCTTATAAGATGTAAATTTGACATGCATAGGATTCTTATACACTATCAGGCTTATAGTGGAGTTGTTCCAGGTGTCCATACCCCAATTATTTTCTTCTTTCCCTCATCCAATGCATGGTTAGATGTCACATCAGAAACTGTTGGTACATATGTCACATCAGAAACTGTTTAGTAGTGATGATACACACAAACAAGTCAAAATATATATTTCTAAGCTACCCCACTAAGAAGCCACATACAGGGTATGCTAGGTTCCCCAACAGGCAAAGTAGTTACATGTCTACTGTTAATTGCAAAGAATATATGTTATGTGGGAAATAAATTTCACTTAATTTACAGAGGAAAAAGATAAGCTATGTAAACTAACAGCAACAAACAACCAGAAATGTCCTTTGGAATGAATAACTGTTATTTGACTATCATAATTCAAATAGATATTTGACTTGTATATTACTTTGAACAACATATCATTGCTGATTTTGGAAGTGCACAGAAGCAAGCTTTCTCAGGAAAAGTTAAAATGAGAATGACAGTAATAAATCATGCTAAGTCCCAAAGAAACCTACTTATCAAAGAAAAACATGTCCTAGAGAAACCTGGATATGTGGTTGTACATTTATGGGTCCTAAATTGCAGAACTTACAGATTTAAATATGAGTAACAGATTTGTTACACTGTTATTGCTTGAGGACACTCTCCTAATCTTTTAGGAATAAAAGCAGATTACATATCTAGAATATTGGAAGGGTTTTAATGTAGGATACCAAGAAGAAGAGAAGATGGGGATACGATTGATTCATATGGTTTCAGAAAGGGAATTATCAAGCAAATGAATCTTGATCTAGAGGGACCTGTTGAAATCTTTATCCACACCTGCAAAGTAAGATCAAGAGACAAAAGCCAACATTCAAAAATCAAGAACTTCCAAGAGTTTAAAACAGCACCCATGCAATTACAGAAATTTAATTCAAATATAATTTCATTAACCATAATTCACTACACAATTTGATTTTCCAACCTAATAAGTTATGAACAGTCTTCAAGAAACTTGAGATTCCAATAACCTTCCTAATACTCCTTTCTAAACATAGATGCTTCCCTAGAACAATTTCCATGCCCAGAGAAATGATACCCAACATGGATGTGGGTGGGGCTCCACATGGGAGGGTAGGTTGTTGCCTTTGCCAAAAATCTGCATGATCAGATGAACATTATGCATGGATAAGTTTTGAAAATGTCCCCTTTCTTCTTTGCCTTCATTTTCTTTTGTTTTATTTATTTACTTGTTTACTTATTTTGTCTTTTGTGGAGCTCCACTAGAATAAAAGGTTGCTATAATCTGTTCAAACCAATTGTTAGCTCAATTAACTTTTCAGGTTCTGCTGCTTCAATCATGGGTCCTGATTTCCTCAGAATGAGACAAATGGCAAGTTAGAGGAATCCAAAGACAAGATATTTATAGTAAAATAGGAAGCTAACAAAAGAAGCTCAGAATTAATTAATTAATAATTTCTTTCCTTGACTAAGACTCCTTTTACTTAAAGACATGACAGCACATTGAGATTTCATAGGACTTGATTTGATCCCACATCAACATGTTGACTCTCTAAAGATGGGCATGGATTGCCATACCCCCAGCCTGTCAACAGCACAGCCACTCTAGGCTTATTTGCAGACCAAAAAGGGTTATATTCATGTTTATTTACAATACAAAAATTTTCTTGGAATAACATTCAATTCACATTTCATAATTTATAAGACAAGTGCCAGAGGTGAGAGGGCATTGAGAAAAGACATGCAACCAAGATTTGGTACTTACAAGTAGAAAAGTTTCATGATTAAGACTCATTTCAGTCAGTGTCGCTTTTGAAAGTGACAAAAAATGGAACCCAAGAAAGAAATTAACTTCAAGGAAGCCACCTTGTCAGATTAGTGGACAACCATTATACTTTCATCATGGTTTACTGCTTTGTATTTGACAATTCTGTGCACTTTTACATTTAATAGATTAGCCCAAGAATCCTATATTAGTGTGGAAACAATATCAATCATCAAATAAGATGGACCAAATTGCTAGAAATGAAGGTTTTCATGGAAAAAGCTTGACTGTGAATTAATAAGTTACACAAGTAGATATGCAGGTTTAGAAAAATGGATAGGTGTCACATTTGAGTCCATAAGTAAAAAAGCATGCAATAGCAAGTAGAACCTTAAAATTCATAATTCCATTGGCATTCCAGCTCTACTCAAGAGTCTTTTTATTTTCTTTTCATTACTGATTGTTAAAATAGATTCGGTGGGCCAGTAAAACAAACTGACTGAGCCCACCATTTTACAAACGGTGGCTCACCGACTAAACCCACCATATCACAATTGGTGGCCCATCGGTAGGAGCCTGCTTATTTCTATTACTTGGCGGTGAAGACTATTTTCACCGTTATGTGGTTGTAATTTTTCTTCAAAATTCTCTTTATACCCCTCTCTACAAGTATAAATAGGGGTCCCCTCCTCCGTTCATTTCATCCATTTCATTTTCATTGTATACATTGTATACAATGTGTTGAGAGGAGTGTGGTGTTGGGTGTATTAGGTGACGGGTACGAGTGAGGTTCTGATGAGGTTATTTTAGTGTTGTATTTTCTCTTGTTTATGATGAAGAAGAAAAGCTCCAAGTTTCTGCCTATGGATGTAGGCAATTTGGCTGAACCATGTTAAATCTAGTGTTCTCTCTCTCTTCTTTCTTTCTTCGGCTTTCTTGCTATCTACTTTTGTTTCTTTCTGTGCACGTACAAATTATATTGTCCAATGCACCTGTTGAATATGGCAAGTTTGACCTCTACCCAGTTCGATATACCAAAATTCAATGGATCCAACTATGCAATCTGAAAGCTGAAGATGCATACTGTGTTGGTGAAAGAAGATTATGTAATTGCCTCGGAAGGAAAAGAGAAAAGCCTACTAGTATGAAGGACGAAGATTTTGAGAAGAAAAACCAAATAGCCACAACTAATATTCTTCTTGCTTTAGAAGATTCAGTTCTATTCGACGTGTCTGAGGAAACCACTACCAAAGGTTTATGAGACAAGTTGCAGAATCTCTACGAGGGGAAATCGATGTCCAATAGAATCTTTCTCCGGCGACAACTTTACAACCTAAGGATGAAGGTCAGAGCCTCTCTACAAGAACACTTGAATGAGTTCAACACTCTAGTAAGTAAATTAGCAGCTGTTGAGGTACGTATTGACGATGAAGAAAAGGTTTCTCTTGCTTTGCTCCATGCCTGATTCTTGGGATAGTTTGATAATGAATTTGAGCAATACCAAAGATATGTCATTAGAATCTACTATTCCTATGTTGCTTACAAAAGAATCTCGTAGATAAGTTGGTGAGAGTTCTTAAGATGATGCAATGATGGTATGGGGTAGATCCAATGAAAGAAGCAACTCTAGCAGAAATCAAAACGAGATCCAAGTCGAGAGGCAAAACAAAAGGACTCAAGTGTTGGAACTACGGTAAGAAAGGCTACCTTCGAAAAGATTGTAGACAACCCAAAGTAGATCAAAATCGGCCCAACTCTGACCAAGATCTAGATTCAAAGAATTCCCAAGGAAACATCATAGAAGGAAGTGATTCATCAAAAGATGGTGAGGTGATGTCTATTGGTTCATATGAAAATCTAAAGCATAACTGGATATTGGATTTTGGTGCTTCTTTCCATATGACGCCATGCAAAGATTGGTTCTACACATACCAATTGTGCGATGGTGGGACTATTTACATGGGCAACAACAACACATGTAAAATAGTGGGAGTTGAAGACGTTAGAATTACTATGTTTGACGACATCACTTGTACAATCTTTGGTGTACGACATGTTCCAAAATCACGAAAGAGTCTCTTGTCACTACGAAAGTTTAATGAGGACAGTTACAAGTTTTTTGGAGAAAAAGGCCAATTGAAGATCAGTAAAGGAGCTATGGTGTTTGCAAAGGGAAAATTACAAGGAAAGCTATACCACTTGATCGATGACGCCATCGTTGCAAATGTTGTGACTGATTCAGTCATGATTTGGCACATACGTTTAGGCCATATGAGGAAGCAAGGACTCAAGGTACTTCTTGATCGAAATCTACTTCCTGGTTTAAAATCTACTGATTTGAATTCCTATGAAGATTATCTATTTGGGAAACATCATAGAGCTAGTTTTCCCAAGTCAAAAGCTAAAAGTTTAGAGGTATTAGATCTAGTACACTCTGATACTTGGGAAGCTACTATCTTTTGGATGCTTTTTTAAGCTTTACCTCCTTTATTGATGATTTCTCTAAGAAAGTATGGGTGTATATGCTCCGAAGGAAGATTGATACTTTTTCCTATTTTAAGAAATTCAAAGCTTTAGCTGAAAATCAAAAGGGGAGTGAGCACGGCATTTCGAGACAGTATACAATTCCTCGAACTCCACAACAAAACAGAGTTGCTGAATGGATGAATAATACGCTTATGGATCGAGCTAGAAGCATGTTAAGTGCAATTATGCTAGAGCAATGCTTTTAGGCAAAAACACTCAATATTAGCATTATCTAGTAAATTGCTCTCCCACTATGGCACTTGATTACAAAGTTCCAAAAGAGGCATGGTCAAGAAACCCTATTGATTATTCTTCCCTACATACTTTTGGTTGTGGTGCTTATGTTTGGATTCCTAAGGAGCAGAGGACCAAGTCAAATGCAAGGTCCAAAAAGTGTATTTTTCTTGGCTATGCAGAAGGTACAAAGGGGTACAAATTGTGGGATCCTTTTTTTTTTTGAAAAAAAGTTAACTTTATTCAAAAGGAGAGGTACATGAGGCGATGTACACGACATATAAAACTCTCAAAAAATTACAAAGGCATAGAGCTATCACTAAAGAGAATCCCTGTGAGCACTAGATTTAGCTAGACTATTGGTTTCAAAGTTTAGCTCCCTCGGAATCCAGACCACCTGGCCACTTAAAGAGGCAAGAATGTCTCTCGCTTCAGCTAGGTAGTGAGCTAAGGCCCAAGGCCCATTGTCAGAACTAGAAAGCCAGTTAATGGTGTTGGCTGAATCTCCTTTAATGGTAAGACTTCGTAAACTCATGTCTTTTGCAATCCTGATGCTAGTTAGAGCTGCCAAGACTTCTGCCTTTGTTGATGAGGCAATTCCAATCGGCCCACTAAAAGCCCAACTGATACCATTTCTATTTTGAATTACACCTCCAATACCCATTGTACCTGGGTTTCCAAAAGCACTCCCATCAAAATACAAGGTCGTCTCGCCCTCCACATCAGATCTGAAGTTAGGAGTAGTGCTGAACTGTATTTGTTTAGAGTGAAGGAAATTTACAGCATTTCTTTGGAGGTCATCAAAAGGGACATCTCTGAAATGAGATGAGCTGGAAGTCCATAGGAAGCATCTGTAACATATTGGAGACATCAGCTCCTCAAAGTTTTTTGTTCTGTTGTTAAAGACCTTGTTGTTTATCTCTTCCCAGATGGTCCAAAAAATAGCATGAGCAGCAGATTGCCATAAGATTTTCCCTCTTTTGCTTAATCCTCTTCCTGACCATTGCCATGTGGAGATAAATAGTACCTGCCATGGTTCTTTTTCTGAAGGAGGCCAAAAGTGTTGATTTTCTTTAAGCTGGCTTCCCACACAAAAAAACATACCCTGGTAGGGATGTGAGCACACCAGATTCTCTTGTAGGGGTACTGACCATTAGTTTGTTCTTCCCTAACTAAAACTTTGAAGCAAGATTTGGTTGAAAACTTACTTGATGGGTGAAGGGTCCAAATACGAAGGTCAGAGGAATTTTGTGAGAGGTAGACCTCTCTTAGAGTGTGCAAGAAGCTAGAGATT